TTGACAGACTCACCTTCTTTTTGAATTCGCCGATTGAACTGAGCTCGTTCGAATATTATGTTTCGTTTAACAACAAAGTGAGTGTCGAAACTATTCAAAACCTCCTGGAATTTCTTTTTATCCTCTTCCGATATACTGAGCGAAAGAAATATGTCCTCGGCTTTATCACCCATGACGTATATGAGAGCATCCACTTGTTCCTCTTCTGTTTTTGTTATTAGTCCAGAAGCAGTTCGGAAACGTAGAAATCTTTGCTTCCATTTAGGCCATTCCGAGGGAATCGAAAAAGGAAATGATTCTGGCGGCGTTATATGATATGCAGGAGCTGATGTCATGATGTAATTTCAGAATATCGAAGGAGAGTCAAAACTTACTGCGTTAATTTGTTTTCTTTTACCGCTGCCACCATGTGTTGTTATGTATTATATCAGTACATATTAAATAAATGAGCAGGATCTAGCATCTCGCAAACACGTTTAATAACAACTTAACGAGATACACAAACACAAACTAAACATAAATGCAAACTGAAACTAAAACTAAACAATTAGTACACAGTTACAGTTAATCTGGCTGATGCCACATAGACTTGCATAGCTGTAGAAAGTAAATAAACATGATTTTTTTTTCAAAAAGAAAAAAAGCAAATGTTAATTAAAATTCTACCTTTTGATAAAAAAAGCATGGAATTCAAATCTACATTATAGTTTATTGATGGAAATATCTATATTTCTAAAGCTTGAGGTTATATTAAAAAGAAATTACCTTAATATGCCAAAAATAGAAAGAAAAAAAAAAGCTGAGTTCAGATATTTTTTTCCTGATATAGGGTCATTCTTCCCTTTCAAAGTCTATTTGAAGCAGTAGGTTGAAGCAGTAGGTCAGCTGTTATTTTTTTTCTCATAATATGTTTATGGTATCTTCGAAATTATCAGATTTTCTCTTGTGAAAAAAAATTCCAATGAGTACATATATATTTTAAAAATGTTTTTTAAGTTTAACTTATGTATTTCGATATAGGATTAAAAATGAATATTTTAACATAAAAATATATAGATTGAATATTTATTTTTTGATGAATGACAACATTTATATACACAATCTGTTGCATTTATTTTGCCATTTTATAAATCATGAGAAAAAAAGAAAGAGATCAAAATTTTAAATTAAAATTATGGTGTGCTAATTGAAACTTTGTGTTACTAGTTAAAGTAGTATTCTTTAAATTATCTATTTTATCTTGTTTTTTAATTTCAATCATGCCTTTGTATCAAAAGGGTCGCTATGCATTATAATGAAAAATTATTTTAGTAAGTTAGAGCTTCTAAAATATTGTTATCATATAGTTTTAATATTAATTTAATTTTGATTAAACATTTATAAAGTTTTTTTAAGCATAAACTAACGCTCTTATAATGTATTTGAAAAAAAAAATCTGATTTAAATCAAAAAAAATCACGAACCCTGATTCAGAGGGATCAAAGGGCAGGCAGGGTGGGCTGCCTTTCTAAAAAGGCTTAGGGAGTACATTGTTATACCAAACAAACACCCATACTCAATTAAATGACACCATCCTACTTCTAAACAAATTTTTCGTTATCAATCTCAAAAAAAGTACAATACCGAAATTGAAACTTTCTTAGGAGAAAGTTATTTTATAAAAACACAATCACTCAAGCAAATCTTAAAAAAAGCATCTGCAAAATTTTAAAATTACCACCAATGTATCCATGCACAACGTGGATTATAGTACCTAATTCTGCCTTCAGCTTTTTCTTTTCTTGGCTGAATACAATCGGATGACATCATCCATTTATATTCATTATCACTTTTTTTTCTTCCATTCCAATAGATTTGGTAGACTATTTTTACTACAACTCACAAAAAAACGCATGTATTTACATTGATGAAAATTACCTTTCAGTTGTAACAGAATACATTTTAAAATGCAACAGATTATTACGTAATTTTGTGAAAGGCACGTCTAAGAAGTTTAAAATTTTGTGTAGGGTCCGTTTTAAGGACTCAGAATTTCATGAATGATTATGTGTCCAGTTATGGAGTTTTGTGAATTCCATAGACCTAATTCCTTTTTAGATTGACCCCTGGCTATGTCTTTCTCGTTCAGTTCACCCTTATCTTATTACAAAAAATTAGTAATTTCTGAGAATTTTTTTTCACTACTCGAAAATTGCCTAGTTGGAGATTAGTAGAGAATGACCCAACAGTAAATATTTATCGGGAATAGGAAATTATTCTCAGTTGAAGCAATGTAATTAATGGTGATAAATAAGTGAAAAAGAAATTTAAATGAGAGTGACTACAGAAAATGGATTGGCACATGGAATGAAAAAAAAAATATTTACAAAGAAAATTTTAAGGGTAAGAGAGAAACAAATATATCATTCTGATTTAATTATTTTCAAGTTACGAATCATTATTTGTTACAGACTTTTGAAGAATATATTTACGATCCATTATCTTATAAAAGCTTGTCTTATACCGCCATATCTTTTAAAAAAAAGAAGAGAAAAATGATACTATTTTCAGAGTAAACAATGCAAAACATATTTGCATGAACAGGGATCTGTTCAGGCCGAATTTACTACCGCTTAGCGGTACCTTCACAAATTCAATTTTAGGTGAAACGGTAGTTTCACAAATTCAACTTTAGGAAAAACGGTAGTTTCACAAAATACTTTTCTCTAAAATTTTAGTTTTGTATCCCTTAAGAAACGATAAATCTATATTTTTACCATGTTTTTGTATTGATTTTGTAATATAATTTTTAATTTTTCACAAATTATGTCTAAATTTTCACAAAATAGGTACCTTTCAGAAAGACCTAGACAGACCCCTGATGAATTAGCAATGATAGCCTTATTCTCAATACAAAAATGAAATCACCATAAAGGCTGTTCTGGCTCATACAACCAACATATATCGTAATAATTTAATTTCGAAATAGAAATAGGCCATGGCTTATTTACCAGAAATTACTGTGGCTGTTTTATCAACTTCGGTAAAAGAAATTATTGGCATCAAAAAAATAATAAATTACCTGAATTTTTGGGTAGAATTACGTTGTTTTGAAGGGGGAAAAAAAAACATCATTTGAGTGATCCAGTTTCTAGTAAAATTATGTACAAATGCTCGGTTTCAAACTTTAAATCAATTTTAACAAACATTGAAATTAATAAATAAAATTAAAAAAAATAAAAGTTAACAATTTAAAAATAGACATATAAAGGAAACTTACAAGAAGCAAAGTAAGTGGTTAATTCAATATGGTTATCTTCACAGTATTTCACATCAGATTCTTTCCAATATAGTTCTTTTTCTAAACTAGTTTCGACTAATTTTATTTCATCACATTCAGACTTGACACAAGCACTTTTCTCAGATTCTTGAGTGGAAGCATTGTCTGGATCACAGTCATCAAAACACAGTTTAACCATTTCATCATACTCTATTCCAAAAGTAATTTGATCTGGACAATTGTCCATAATAATCACAGGTTTCTTTTCTACCGGTTTAAATGCATTAGTTGAGGAACTAACACTACTAGCACTGCTGTACATAGAGTCTGGTTTTGAACCCGGTTCATCAATCATACTAGTAGTAGAATCTAAAGGAAAGCTAGAACTATAAGCAGAACTAGATGATGACATTTTATCAACATTTTCTAAATTATCTCCTTTAATATATTTTTCTGATGGAGGAGATAAGGTAGAAGATATGCTTTTTTGTAATGATGAATTGTAAAAACTAGGTTTCTCTAAATTAACTACAGTAGCTTGAATGGCATTTAAATCTTGTTGGGCCCACTCAGTTTGGGATTTTTCATCTTTTTTATCAGTAAATATTTTTTCAGAATCTGAAATTTTACCACCAGTGGAAATGTGAATTACATCAGCATATGAAGTTTGTGGAATGACACACATTTCATTAGTTCCTAATGAACTGGTAGCTGGTACCACATTGGGGCATTCAAGATCAGATCGAACACTGAAATCAGGAGATTTCATTTGCTCATTTTGAACATTGGTAGTTAAAGCTGGGTATATTTTGTCAGCATCTTTAAGATCTGCAGAGTTTTCAAACAATGAAGATACAGATATCTGTTGCCAATTATGGACAAAATAATCAGACTTCAAATTACGAAGTTGGGCATCTGGATCAACTTGAAGGGTAAAGTATTTATCAGGTATACTTATTGATGGAGCAAAATAAGAGTCTTCATTGGCAATTCTTACATGACTTTGTAAAAATGGGTCTCTTATTATCTGTGTAGTTACAAAACCTCGTGTATACTTTTCAGTAACAATTGCTGCATCACCACAAACTTTATTCAATGGAAACTTTACATATGGCATGTTACCTTTTGAGTTTTGATAACTAATACTTGAATGAGGTACTGGTGAAAAAAAATTATTTGTATGAAATGGTACCTTTGAACTAGTAGTTTTAGAATGGAAAGCTCGTTTTTCATGGTATCCAGATTTTCTATGTTTTGAAGTCTTTTGAACAGAGAGTTGTGTTTGATAACTTAATCCAAAGTTAGGTACTTCAGATAAAGGAGGAAAATTACAAAATGTTGAGTGCTGATTAAAAGAAAGATTGCCATTCAAATCAGGAGATGGTTCAACATTTTCTTCGTGAGGTGGTTTCAGAGACAAGTGAGACTTACAGTTATCACATGACTGTTTCAAAAAAGACTTTGAATCAGAATAAATATATTTCTTATTATCAAAAGGATTTTTAGATCTGGATATGTATGAAAATTTCCTAGGTGCATTAGACTTAATACCTAAATGGTTATTCTTTATAACTGGTTTTGAAACACCAACTTTTTTACTATTTATGTCCTTGCTTTTATCCATTTTATCCATAGATCATTTCCAAATATATTTTGAAATTTATAATGAAAATTTTAAACAAGATTAGAATTTAATATCTGAATAATCAAAGAAAACCTTTTTTTGTGGAAAAACTGTTTCAGCAAAGTACATCAGAATATGACAGATATTCACACAACCTAGAAGAGAAGATAAACAATATAAATATGCATTCAAAGATGAAATTCTTAAGTAATACCCTGGATTAGAAAAGGATTAATTGTTAACTTTGAATAAACGAGTATATGTGATAAAAATAACAGAAATCAAAATATATTGAACTAATAATAATTTATAAAATTAAATTTAAGGTAACTCTCATAAACTTATGGAATTCAAACTAATAAATACTTAAATTAACATAAGTCTTTTCAACAAGGAAAAATTTTGCACAGCAAGACATTTTTTAACATCAAAAATTTCGGATTTTTTTTTACATCCTTTGTAAAAATTTCCCCAGAGCTGCCTGAATCTCCCCCAAAACCTTGCCGGCAGGATCATATTCTGTTTGTCTAAGATAGGTACTCTGCCAGACATTCGTCTGGAGCTGTGGCGGTGACTATGGTAACGAGGTATGATTATTATAAGTAGGGGGTGCAGGGCCCCTCTTTAGGACTGGTTTTGGCGAGAGAAAAGGAGACCTCTTCATCGAAGCTACCATCCCTAAAATGCCCTCTTCTTGTTTCCATAGCACCAGACTGCCGCAGACTTATTGGCGGTCAGAGTACCTATCTTAGACAAACAGTATATTCTGCTCCCCAGTCTATAAATAATAACAACAAATATTGAGAATTAAAAGTAACTTTTATAAGTTGATATCAGACAACTATTGATGACTAGTTATCTGTTTTAATTTTTGCATAAAAGAATTCAAATCAGTATTTAGATTAATAATAATTAGCTACTCATAGTTGTTACCTGTGATATATACTGAACAGTTATAATATAGCAAAAAATATTGATTTCAAAGTATTAAGAGTACCATGTAAAAACATGGATACACATAAGTCATTATTACATAAAATTAACACATAAAAACCAATAAATACACATAAAAACCAAGTAGATACACATAAGTCATAATTATAGTAGTACATTATAAAAGTATATTGGGCATGATTTTAAATCTAATGAAAGGTTCCAAATGACATGAAAGAAACTTGCCCAAGATTTTGTCAGATTTCAACAGTATAAGACACTTTTCGAAGCCTCATGTCAAAAGCCCAACCCTGATATAACTGCCAATAGGGGGTTTGGATTATACTAGAATATACAGATAAGTAAGTGTTACTTATTCAGGGTTGAAACTCAAATCTGAAAAAAAAATTCCCTGTACATATTATAAGCGATATATTAAGAGGAAACAACAATTACTGAGCTCTTGCGTGAGCTATAGTGGGCTAACTATATATATTAGTTTCAATTGCTAGAAAAACAGCTGAACATACTTAAATAATGCTATAGTAAATGAAATAGTTTAGTATAGCTGAAATATCATGGTTAAATATCCTATAGATTACGCTTTGAGTAGTCACCATTTTTTAAAAGACAAAAGATAGAAACAAAATTCCCTGTATTTTCCCAGTTTGTAAAGAAAAAATCCAAATTCCCTGTATTTTCCCTGTTATTTTAGGTGATTTTTAAATTCCCTGTATTTTCCAGGTTTTCCCTGTTCTCCCTGTGGAGTGGCAACCCTGTTATTGATGGAAAAATGTGGGAGGAACAAAGGTTTCAACTCAATATTTTTTTTAATAAAAAAGTTAAACGTGTGACTGCCCGGAATTCACTACACTTTTTTTTAAGATTAAAAAACAGCCCGATTGCTTTGATTATTTGTGGGTTTTAACTCTAAAGTGATGCCCATGCCGAAAATCGACACCCATGTTCATTTTAAGTTTGATTGTCAGGTATAAATTTCGCCGGAAATTCCCTACATTGATTTTTTAATAAGGTTAAAAAATTACCAAGGATGATTTTTGCAATCCATTTACATTTATTATAACTTTGTAAGACTGTTTAGATTCCGCAAATAATAGTTATGTGTTTTATATTACTATGCTTTTATGAAATTTGCAGCATTTTAAAATCATAGTTTTGTATGACTCTATTGCTATATTTGTATGAAATTCATAATATGCAGGCAACAAAACTGTTGCCTGGCGGATAACATTTCATTTAGACCTGAAGGGTACGGAGTTGAACATCAGTAGTCGTTAACTCAAAATTTGGGTTGGCTGTTTAATGAAGGTTACAAAAAATAAATAAAATACAGGCATTTAAAGAATCTATTAGAACTAGAAGCAGGGTTGGGTTTTTGACGTCAAAAAGTGGTTTTTGACATGACAAGGGTATAATACTGGTTTAAACCGTCAAAAACCCGTCAAAAATGTCAAAAACTGAAGTTTGCCAAGAAAATATATAAACTTCAAAACTACCAACAGTTGCCATGCATTATATTGAAATTTAATTATACTATAGGTAATCAGCAGGTTTTAAAATATTTTTTAATTAAAATTAAGGTAAAATAACAGATTTAAAATCTCAGAAATTTATATTCAAATGCATGTGCAGAAAAATTTTGCACAAAAATTTTTTAAATATTTATATTTTAAAAAAAAAAATTTTTTTTTTGATACTTAAGAAAATTAAAAGTTTATTACTATGCATTTTTGACATATAAGGAACATATAACTAATATTTATAAGGAACTTACAAGTTATGTTGTATAAATACAAACTTGATACAAGTGTATAAAAAATTTTTTTTAATGTTATACCGAATATCTTTATTATCCAGTATGTTAATTTGAATTTAAAAGTAGTTATATTTGTGAATAATGATAAATATAATTCATATTGTTTATTATATTTATTTATAATTATTACACTTATCATTTTAAAACAATTTTTATCTCTTAATTTTTTTTTCTCCACTTGTATTAAGAATACAAATAATGCATATCTTGAAAGCAAGAAGTAATTATTCAACAGCTGAATATTTAGATATTCAACAAAACTATATAGTATTCAGCAAAATGAAATTCACAAGTATTTGGATAAACTAAATTTTCAGCATAGTAAATGAATAGGCTGAATATACTGTAAATCGACACTAACTACTCTGTGTATTTAACAGAAAGCACTTAAATTTGTATTGTCTTATGTTAAAAAGATTATTAAGAAGATTTAAAAGAATATTAAAAAGATTTTTCTTTAAAAGATGTCTAATGTACAAAACTGCTAATGTTTATCTTTAAAAATGTCTAATTTTTAGTATAATCTATACTATACACTAAATTTGGTTATAAATAAATTTCTTAATAATATCACTGCAGATTTTCAATAACACATGAAAATGAATACATAATATTACAAAAGATGTGAGCTTTCAAAAGTACAAGATTTTGGTTACTATTCAAAATATAAGTGTTTCTTCAAAATTTTAAATTTATTTTTTCTAGAACATATTTAGAAACACTATCCTTTATAAAAAATATATATTTTCATTTTGATAATTAAATTTCACATATGAATATAGGTTTTTGACATTTTCGACATTTTTGACAGTGAGGTTTTTGACGTGACGATTTAAACTGTCACATGTCAAAAACCTGCCAACCCTGACTAGAAGAGACTATTACATAACTTTTATAATTATTTCAATAACTTAATAATTAAATATGACATTCAATTTATTTTTACTTAGCCAAAACTTTATTAATTACTAAATATAAACTACATAATTTTCTTATAAAATTAATATTATGTCATATCATTGAGATTGAAAAAAAATCTGATAAAATAAAGAGCATAATGTATTTCCATTGGCCATTTCTGCTATGCTAAAAATTTTTTTGCGCTTTAAATAATTTAATACATTTCCATATGGTGAAGATTTCAAAAATATATTAAAAATTTTTTGGTCAAAACTTTTTTAGAAAGTACAGTAGGGAACCAATTATCCGGAACGATCGGGACCATCGCTATTCCGGATAACTGATTTTTCCGGTTTTCTGAATCGATACAAAAAGCAGTTTTTTTTTTTTTAATTGTTAAACCCAACTAAAAAAAAACAAAAATAGTTGGAAATAATCTTAAAAAGAAGAAAAAACGATGAAGTAATACACTAATGATTATTTCCAAAATGATGGTAAGGTAAACATCTTTCAAAAAAGAAAGAAAAATCTTATGAGGAAAAAAAACATTTTTTTAAAAAAAATGGCGGGAAAATTTATCAATATATATTTTTTAAATATATTTTTGGTTTTCTGATTTCCGGATAACGGGTTCTGTACTGTATTCAAAATGGTAGAATAATCTGCGAAAAATATTCAATGATGTGTGAAACTATAATAATAGCTGCAGCAATAACAGGAAAAAAAGTTGGCAAACTGAAATACCTTTATTTAAAAATCATTTCTGGGAAGAAAATTTTTTTTTTAAAATATAAGCTTTATTAGATGGTTTTTTTTTAAACGCAGCTGGGTCTTAAGGGCAGGCAAGTGGGTAGACAGGCCTGGTGCTAGGTCTATAACTTTTATCTCAAAAGTATAAAAATGTAAATGATTGTCATTTAAACAAAGATAGTAAAGAAAACTAAATTGTAAACTAGCTAAAATAATTACACTTCACCAATATAATTTAGCTTTCATTACAAGAGCTTTAATTCTGATATAAGATAATCTTTGCTCCTTTAGGATATCTAGACAGATTATAGTGATTTAAATTATATCTAAAGTCAATTTATTGCAATTATGAGAAACTATCAGCTTTAGTGAAATAAAATTGTTTCATGCAACTTGAAAAAGTCATTAGGCAATTCTACCAAAAGTAAACCTGTCAAAATTTTAAACTAGCAAACTTGACATATTTTATATCACTTTAATGCTTAAAATATTACGTTACTTGATTTTAATTAGCATGTAATCAATACCTCTATTTTCAGCTAAAAACTCATTATCATTTCTAAAAAAAAGAAATCCATGAAATTATTGACATAAAGAGGATTTTTCTGTATCGTGATCTGTGGCAGAATAATAGCGTTAGCAACTTCAGGACGGCAGCATGCGAGAAACTAAAAAAAAAAAAAAAAAACATCACTGAAAGGGTCCAACTCAAAGGATATGGCTAGTAGCTACCCACAGGCAAACCTCTTAAATGTTTTGTTTTAATTAAAAATTTCCCTTTAAAATCAATTTGGCACTATTGTGATTGTAGTTGCAGTGGCAGATCATGATAGAGAAATATCCAGACATAAACCACAATTTTCAATATTTAATAAAATATTATCTGCATTTCATCTATTTTAATTATTTTTAGTAACATAATACTACAATAAAGCAAATAATATTTTTCCTGATTAGCCAAATTATTTCAAGTGAGTATATTTTCTTTTCAAGCATACCAATTTTTATAAAATTGGTTTTACAGCCATCTTGTGTTTCTACATGGCATATGTTTATTGTTATGTAAAAAAACAAGAACTTGACTTAAAGAGAAAGTAAATAGAACAAATGGCACTCGGAAATAATGGTGAGAAATCAAATAATAATGTCAGTTGAAATGAAACGAACGTTTGAAATATATAAACAAATTATAAAAATGGAATACTTTTAAAATGATTGCGATCAACGCACTTGATTCTGTAGTGTTTACCTGATCACCGAAATAGAGTTGGCCAAATCTTCATTCTAAATAACTAAGTTCTATATAAAATTAAGTAACTAGAGTTAAAGATATCGGACAATCAAATGACTTAGATAACTTGAAAAGTTATGCACAAGGTAAGGAATCATTTTAATAGCAATATAAGTAATGGGTATAAATCTAGAAAAAGAATACTTAGGTACTATCGCAGAACCCCCAAAAATTGTTTTACTTTATAATGGTAATAATATTTAAAATATCATAAACTTACGTAATAAACAGATAATCACAATCTACAAGACTTACTGAGAACACTAAATTCCAATCAATAGTAGGCCCAAGAAATAAGAAGTACAAGAACTAAGGAAAATTTTCTTAATCTTAAATAGTCACTGAGTAACGGAAAATAATAAAAATATTAAATAAATATTGTGATCAATTGACAAAATTGAACTTTTCTTTACGCACCGCAAAATAAACAGATTTTACAATTTACAAATCCCTTTCAATTACACAATACATTAACGGTCACGATTAAAAGATCGAACTTAAACTTAAAATGTTTCAACCTTAGGGAGCATTCTCTTTGCTTAAAATTCGCATGTGCGATGGAGTGAGCATGAGCTGTTGTTGTAGTTGTAGTTCATTTACGTCGCACTAGAGCTGCACAATGGGCTATTGGCGACGGTCTGGGAAACATCCCTGAGGATGATCCGATGACACGCCATCACAATTTTGATCCTCTGAGCGAGCATGAGCATTCTCACCAAATGTGATTGTCTTAGGGCCGGGCTAGCTTGGTCGGTAGGGCGCTGGGCCCATATCCAAGAGGTCGTGGGTTCGATCCTCGCCGGCCGAAGACTCCCCGTGTAGTAAATTGTGACTGATGCACGTTAAATCTGTCGAGTCTCAAAGTCCTCCATGTTCCCACAACAAATCAACACCTCTGGGGGTACTGATCCAGGAGTTTCCTTGTCTTCTGGATTGGTTCAAAATTACAAGGCTACGGAGTTGAACGTAAGTAGTTGTAAACCCATGAAATTGGGTCGGCTGTTCAACGACGGTTATAAAATAAAATAAAATGTAATTGTCGCACGGGTGATCACGGGTGAAAAAATATGAGAACCTGATTGGTGAAGGCTGTTGACAGACTTTTTAATCTAACACACATATCTGATTGGCTTATACCATCATCGTTTTCATCATTATTGCTTAATCATTCTTTTTGGTTTATAACATTTGGCTTTCCGATCTCTTGTTTGGCGAAAAATAATTATTACGCGAATTTAATTTTTCCATCGCCATTGAATTTTGTTTGTCTGATTACGTGGGAGGGAATGGGGTTGAGAATCTGGGGGATGAACACTTGGGAGAATTATTTCAGGAGTTTGTTGTTCCTTTCCCCCCTGTTCTTGAACATTTTCTATGGATGAAGAGGGATGAGAGTGTTTGGGCTGTTTGGAAGTGGAAAGGATTTTAAAGATCAAATCGTAGTGTCATTTATTTTTTCAAACATTTATTACGAGAAATTTTCTCTTAACTTTTACGTACTTTTTTTGAAAAAATTTAATTTGTTTGTATTCAATTATCCATATTGATTTATGATTATTCGCTTCTAATTGGCAATCGAAGTGGGCCACAAATGGCCCAGAGCGAACTCTCTTTATATCCCTTATGAAAAAATCGAGGTATAAATGAGGTATAAACGAGGTATATTTTAAAGGTATAAAGGAGGTTGTTATTTAAATACGTCGTTAAGGTTGAAAAGGGTGCAAATGAATACCTCAAAATCAACCTTAAATATACTTCCAGAGGTAGTATATATGTTTCAACCTGAGGTGTTTAATTTTACATCTGTGGAGAGGTAGATATTTACTACTTTAAAGTGTTTCATTTTCAACCTTGGGTTATTACTTATCAGCCTGAAGTATATTTTTTTACATTTGTGGAACTATTTATTCAACAACCCAAGGTGTGTCATTTTACACTTCAGGTTATTATAAATCAATGTATTTTGTTCGACTTCAGGTAATTATTTTTCAACCACAGGTATCTAATTTTATGTGGGATTTCCTCAGGTGTAATTTTTGATAGTTGGAAAGGTGATTTGTTACTAACGTGAGGTGTATTATTTTCAACCTCAAGTATAGGTTTTTATGCTTGTAAAGGAAATTTTTTTATTCAAACTAAAATACGCCATTTTTCACTTCAGGTTGTATTTTTTTATGCTAATGCAGGTAATTAAATATAATTAAAATGTTTCACCTTAGACTGCTAATTTTTAACCTAAAATATATATCTTTTCACTTGTAGAGGTATTTATCACTCTGGAGTTTTTAATGATACACATTAGGTAGTAATTACTTATTAACTTTCTACGGTCTGTCCTGATTTTCGATGCTAATCCTAATGATAAGAAACTATTTTCTAAGCACATAGGCGGAATACAGAAAAGTCTTTCGAAAGAATTTTCGACTGATTTCCATGTATTGGGTGAAGAAAAGTAAAATGTAATGCAAAGAATCTATCTTCCTTTAATTTTGAAATACAACCCATTAGAATTTATTCTTTTTCACACAATTCAGAATAGGAATTTTTACTTAACTCCTTTAAGTTATATTTTGTGAACCTTGTGCTAATTTGTAATTAAATAGTCCATAAATTTTATTAATCTAGAATTAACATGTAGAGTTGAATAATATTAAGTATGCTGATTCGTAAACCTTAAAAGAACATTTCAAATATGTAGTGTTTCTGTAATTTTAATAAGTTCAATTAAATTATCGTGAAAAGAGGATACATTTGTTACAAAAATATGTGGGAACTCATTTATATAGGACAGATGTTAAAGGTGCTCATTTTTTTCAAAAGCGAAATAGTAACAGCAAATTTAAATAATTTAGCCAGCTTACATATAAAAACTTTTATTAACAAAAAATTTTTTTTTTTCGTTTAAGAAATCAAAATTTTAGACAATTACTCTGCTTTTTCTGCAAGCTGAAATGCTGTGGTCACGTTATTTGGAGCATTGGAACCTATAAATAAAAAATTTGCGAGAATTAGCGGAACGAATTAGAATTAGAATTAACGGAATTAGCGAGAGTCATATTTACATTGATAAGGACAAATTTTAAAAGATTAGAATAATATTTTAGAGCTTATTTCGTTGCATAAATCACATTTTATTATTATTTCTATTCAATTTTAATTAAATAAATGGTTACTTTAGTAGCAGCAGATGAATAAAAATAATAATAATGACCTGCAAAACTCTCCTGCCAGTATATTTCAATTCTTTATTTTGACTGTTTAAACATATCACTTAAAAAGGATAATTTTTCTGTAAGATGCATATAAAAACTGTTGTAGAAATAACACGCTTATTGAAATTCTTAATTGTCCAATAATTCTACCCACCATTTTTCATTATGGGTTGTTATATTGATGCTTAATTTTTTTTCTCAACAAATTTTGAATAAATTCAATTACACTGGCCTGCTTGCTTAAACTTTTAGTCCAATTTCGCAAATGAAATTGTACTAAAACCAATTTTCAATGCTGATTCCGAAAATAATTGTCTATCACTTAAGGTTTTTAAAAACAAAAAGTCATTTTCAACCTTTGATTTAATGTTATCAAGAATCAACCATCTTTTAATAAAAGAATGTAGGACATCAATTTTTTGTGATTTTCATGCCTAATCGAAATAAAACCATTATTAAGTTTATATGTTAACTTGCCTGAGAGAATGTTTTAAAATAATGCTATAAAACAATGTTTTCAAACATCAAAGATCATGTAAACTAGTATTATCAGTAATTTTTTAGGTGAAAAGATTTCATTGAATCAAAGGAGAATAATTTACCTGTCTTTTTTCTTTTTGGTGTATATTTAGAGTTACTCCCAGGGGAAGGCTCTCCAGTTACTTGTCTCGACTTCCTCCTAGCTGCAGAGCACGTATTATTGACAGCCTGATTCAAATCTTGAAATTCTGGATGTGTAGGGGAAGTTTGGGTTTATTTGTACTTTTACCAATTCACATAAATAATGAAAGGTCAGAAATTAACTCTAACTATTTATTGAAAGGACAAAACACATATAAAATAAAACAAGGATAAAAAAATACAAGAATTTGGAAGAGGGGGTTTTGGGCTCGAATTAAACGTCCGTATTTTATGGCGGTTCCTGGCAGACTGTCTTAGTTCACCGCCAGAGGCGCTATAGTGGGGGAAAGAGGAAAGCTTGTCACACTACGCCTCTGGTTCCGATTAAACGTCTCGTTGAGGGACCAGCACTTTTTGGTCTTTTGTTTCTTCTGAGGGTCATCAAGGTTTTCGGGTCAGGTTCAAGAGTCTTTGGTCTGCCTCGTTTACGTAAAGGTGCCACCGGCACTGCATTTTCATCAGAACACTTTTTCAATGCAGATACATGATACTGTCCTAACGGTTCATTTGGCTTATCAACGTGGGCCACTTCATACGATGTTGGGGACCTTTGGGTGAGGATGATGTACGGCCCCTCTCTCTTTGGCATGAACTTGACCGACTTTGATTTTGCAGCATTGCTCTTAGGATGCAAAGTAATCCATACTTTATCACCAGGTGCGTACTGTGGTGATTTTTGACGCTTTTGATCTGCGTGGGTCTTTCTCTGATCTTGTTTGGATTCAACTCTATCTCGGATGTCATTAGAGATATTGGCTAATCTTTTTAGGTAGGGAGTGATCTCGGGCACGAAATTATCGTTGTTCACGATGGCACGAAAATCACTCGTAACGTCATCTATGGTTCTCATTTCTCTTCCAAACATGAGAAATGATGCTGTTTCGCCAGTTGTTTCACACTTTGCACTGTTCATGGCGAATCTAATCATAGGAAGTTTTTCAGCCCAGGAAGTGTGATCTCTTGTCCCACAAGGATTGCAAGACGTGGCTTCAGGTCACGATTTTTCAACTCTGCAGGGTTTGCCTGAGGGTGATATACTGGTGTGAGGTTCTGATCTATTTTCAAAAGGAAACACAATTGCTGCATGACAGCAGAGACGAACTGAGTTCCGTTATCACTTATTATTCTTCGAGGAATCCCATAGCGAAGAAAGATATCTTCTACAAGAACATTGGCGCATTCTTTAGCAGTGGCTGTAGTGAGAGAAAATAATTCTACCCACTTAGTTAAACAATCTTCCACTATAAAATCCCAGGATTTACCCTCTTTAATTGTGGGTAATGGTCCAAAGAGATCTATTGCTAAGGTTTCAAATCGTTGACTGTATATTGGTGTCTGCAGAAGTCCACATGGATTTTGATTACTGGCTTTATATCTGGCGCATTCAACACAACTCTTAACATAGGTAGCTATGAAGGATCTCATAGCAGTCCAATAGTATCGTTGATTTATTCTATTTAATGTTCCCTCTACTCCGTAGTGTCCAGCACTTGGAGCGTCATGGTGTAATTTTAAAATTTGCGCTCTTTCATGCAAGGGTACTACCAACTGTGCTTCTTCAGCATCTGAAGCAGGAGAATATTGGAATAATA